ACCTCGAGATATGTTCATTGAGTTCCTGGGCATGTGAAATGCTCCATTGTTGTCATTGAAGCTGATTTGGGCTTTATGATTGTTACGCCTCCAGGATTAAATATTTTCTTGCGAACAAAAGCACAGCCCGCGTCTCAGACGAGGAGGTTTGAGTAAACTTTGTCCGAAAAAAAAGAAATCCTCTGAGGGACCAACACGTTTCTCTGCTGTGCCTGATTATTCCGTTGGGTTTCAGGGGTGGCTGGACGGTGTTTTAAGAAGCCAATTCTCCAGGGATTAATTTCTCTCATGGTTTGCCTAATTAAGGTATTAACAAAATGTAATAAAGTCTTGCCAGAGGATGTTCCCAAGCAGCGCGTTGCTTATAGCTCCAGCCACCACATCAAATATGTATTTAATCTCAGTATAATGTAGTGGCTACACAAGATAAACACATTTACCCGGAGCTATAAAGCCCAGGGATCGATATAAGCTGTTTCTTTGTTTACTCCCTTGTTTGTAGTTTGATTGCCTCCTGGTCATTCCGGGAAGCGGAGAAGCAGAGAGGTAAAGAGTAAGAAAGGGAAGCAGCGGAGAGAAAGAAAGTCTTGGTAGTCTTCATTGTCATCCCAACCATCATCATCAAAAGGTCTTGCCCTTTTTTTGAAGAGTCTGTGTGTGAAGAGATCTGATGAGCACGAGCTTGGGGGTGTGGGGGGGGGGGGGTTGTGCCGCCACAGTCCTTTTGGTGTCAAACCCACTGGACAGTCAGTCCGGCTTCAACTGCATTCTTCGATGCTGAAGTCAAGTCTTGAGTCTTGTGAGTTCAACTCCCATGCGCTGCTTTGAACAGGAGGAGGACTTCGTCTGTCCCCACATCACAGCAATTATGCCATCAATGAAGCGTCTACAGACACCAGTGATGAGTCGCGTCTCTACAAGTCTTCTCTCGACAGCGCTCATTAAAGTGGCGTCTTATGTTTCCTCATCTAATCTTATATCAAATGCTATTCGCAATATCACTCTACGATACGCTTGTACTGTCACGTATGTCACAGCGTCGATGGGTTACAATATTCCGAGTGCGTGTGAGTAAAATTGGTAAAAGAAAATAGGCTTATTATACGGGGAGTTGGTTCACTTTGATGCTCAAAAAACTGGCTTATGAGCTGCAGCACCGCTTTGTATAATGCAGTGTTTAATGTCACACTATTGACTTTCATCCTGATCTGAATTTTTTATCCCCAATCTATCTTTTTTGCAGTGTTAAAAATGTGCATTTCTATCACGGTCAGTTACTGAATAACATGCTTTTAACTCTACCAGGCCCAACTAATGGTCTCTTTTCTGCTCTAACAATGATTTGAATAAACTGCAGACTATATAAAATGCAGCATTACAAGTGCTGACTGTGGCCAGAAGAACAGAATACATTACTCCTGTTTCAAAGCCCCTTTATTTGCTGTTATTTTTTATAATATGCTTTAAGATACTGCTCATTTTTAAAAAAAATCACTCAGGGGACCAGCACCTGAATACATACATAACACTCGTAGGATAATTCTTGTTTAGATCTCTACATTGTTTGGCCTGTTGGCTGTTCTCTGGGCCAGGACTAACACCTGTGTTGAAGCAGACTTTAGTGCCATCACCTCTGGAACAGCCAGTCGGAGGACCTGAGGGCATCAGGGCTGGCTGACAATCTTCAAACACTATTTCAAGACATGCTTTGTCAGCATAGCATTTATATTATGCCAAACATCAGATCCACTTCAGGATTACGTAGATCAATTTTTACTCTTTGTTGTTACTCTTAATAACAATACGCTTTCCAATTGCTTACTTCACAGGAAAATCTGTCCTTTATTTTTTTAGAGGAAGTTTGAACCTGATGGTGGCGCTACAGACTAAAGTCCAGAAGACTGAAATCATCTCCTTGCTGCTCGTAGAAACTGAAATTGTGTGTTGAGTTCAGGCACATGACCATTAGCTGTAGAAAAAGGTAGATTTAACAGTCTCACAGAGAAGAAAAGGCTTTCTGTATTATGCGATCGAGGGGAGATTTCACGTGTTATTGCTCATTATATGACATGTCCTTCATTTCTGATGGCTTCCTCTGGTTGGGTCATTATTTAAAAAAGGAACCTTTTTGTGGCAGATTTCCTTCTTCAACCTCTTTTTTATTGATAATGCGGCACTATTATGTGTAAGACGTTGTTGTTGTTGTTGTTGTTGTTGTTGTTGTCAAATGTTTGTGCGGTGGTAACTTATGAGTCCTCGTTGGCCGGGTGCTTGTACTGTGTGTGCATGAAATAATCAAAGATATAAGATTGGAACATACTGTGCGACAGAAATAACAGATACAAAGTTTGATTCTGTTTTTATTCATAAGATGTTATTTTTCTTTCTGTCGGTGAAACATTTTACAGTGAAAAAGAGGCTTTTGAAACGATAATGGTTGACATTTCCCCATGCAACATTCACGACTGAGGTGGCGATGATTTGTTCGAGCTATATCCTCGGCTGACACGTTTTCCATCTGAAAGCAGCACTGTCATGTTGCTACGCTGAGCCGGTTCAGCACCACGGACAGCTCCTCGAGTCTTGAGAGGCAGCAATGATGCTTTATTTCCCCCCTTCAGTGACCTTCATTACAACCTCCCCTCTCAAGCATGGGTTTATGATGAGACAATGGGCCCCTGGGCACAGACATGCAAAGGGCACTACCACCTCTCATACCCTACAACCACAACTAACAGACTAGACTAGTAGTTAAGCCTCCTTTTGTTGTTGTTCTGTGTCTTTGTCGTCCCTCTGTGTCTCTTTTTGGTTGTTTTGTGTCTTGTAGTCATATTTTGTCTCTTTGTGGTCTCTGTATCTCTTTACAGCTGTTTTGTGTGTCCTTATGGTTGGTGTGTTTGTCTTTGTGGCCAGTTTGTGTCTCTTTGTAGTCAGTTTTTGTCCCTTTGTGGTTGTTTGGCGTCTCTTCGTAGCCATTTGGCATGGCTTTGTGAATGTTTTGTGTCTTCTGTTGTCCCTTTGCATAGTCTTTTTGTGTCCATTTGTGGTTGTTTTGTGTCTATTTGTAGCTATTTTTGGTCTTTTTGTAGTCATTTTTTGTCTCTTTGTGGTCTCTGTATCTCTTCGCAGCTATTTTATGTCTCTTTGTGGTTGGTGTGTTTCTCTTTGTGGTGGTTTTAGGTCTCTTTGCAGTAATTGTGCGTCTCTTTGTGAATGTTTTGTGTCTTCTTTTGCCTCTTTGCATAGTCTTTTTGTGTCCCTTTGTGGATTTTGTCTGTCTCTTTGTAATCAATATGTGTCTTTGTGGTGGTTTTGTGTGTCTTTGCAGCCATCTGGTGTGTTTTTGTAGTCATTTTGTGTCCCTTTAAAGATGTTTTGTATCTCTTTGTGGTTGTTTTGCACCTTTTCATAGTTGTTGGGAGTCTATTTGTGGTCTCTTAATCTCTTTGCAGCTGTTTTGTGTCTCTTTGTAGTCATTTTATGTTTATTTGTGGTCATTTTGAGTCTCGTTCTGGTTGATATGTGTGTCCTTGAGTGACATTTTGGAGGTGAGGGCCAGCGGGGCCCCTGGCACTTCGGGCCCCTTGGCCTGTGTCCAGTAGGCCTCTTCAGTAGTCAATCCATACTCTGAAGTTATACAAAGTATGCTGGCTTATGGTAAAAAAAAAATACACTCTGCATTAAGAAAACAATGTATTTTTTTTGTTTTGTTACGCCAACAAAAAATAATGCAAGCAGCCCGAGCTGTGCTTAAAATACACAACTCTGCTGAACAAAGCGCTAATCTCTGTGTGCGCGGCTCACCGTCTCGTGGGGGGTCATTATTCTTTATCTGCAACAAAGCGGTGGGTCGCTCACACTGCCTATGGATGTATACCAGCATCTTTTAAATGACTGTAGGCATCACGCTACAACTGCATTTTTTTACACGGACCATAATGATTTTTATGTTAACTGCCACGCAAAGACCAACTATAGGCTCCCCAAGCAGGCCTTCATGCCTGATTCAATGTTTGCTGCTCAAGCCTGCCAGCTAAATCCTTGGCAATTTGAGCATTCGGCTAATCTAATTTGATACTCTAAGCTACAGCAAGTAAACCACAGGTCAACGCTACAAAGCCAAACAATGTAAATCTATCCCTCAGGTTGTTAATCGTGGCGCTCAGACAAAAGCAAAAACGGGATTATGGACCCTACGGTTGATGCCAAATCACGTTCTAAACAAACCCTCTCCCTCCATTCCTGTGTCATAAATTACAGCAGTGGGGATCTAGACTAATGGCTGTGTGGGTGTTGTGTTCCACCTCAGATCATTTATCACGCTGAACAAACAGTGACACTTCAGCAGGTCATCAGTCAGATTAGAGCCCATTAATTTAGTTACAGCCACGAGGTGGTTTTCCAATGAAGATTTTTTGGTATTCGATGTTGTTAGATGCAGAAACTTGTGGTCTTTATGTCAACCTCAGGACCAAAAGCACCCCTCCCCCTCCTCCTCCCCCTCCTCCTCCTCCTCCTCCTCCTCCCCCCCTCGCCCCCCCCCCTCCATCCCTCTCCAGCTATTTGAATAGAGAGCCTGCTAAGCACTCTTTTGTTCAGTAGCGCTCAGCTGCTGGAGAGGTGAGCACCACTCGGGCGCTCCTCCACTCGTCGCGGCTGCTGCTGCTCGTCTCACCGAAAGACACCGCTCGTGAACCACCGCGTGCAAAAAGCGATAACCGTGCCTCGCGCTCTCTCGACTCCCGACTCCCGACCACCTTGACACCCACAACTGCTCCGTTTTCACCCGCTCTTGCAGGAATCTTTTCTTTTTTTTCTCCCCCACGCGGCGGAGGGCGGTTGAAGCGCCTCTCGTCTTTGGCGCTACTCCACCTGCACCGCATCAGACCGACGCTCGTGCTCTGAGGCTCCCGCATCGCTCTACATTCCTGAGGACTGGACCTCACTCTCAGGTGAGGGCGAGTTCTTCAAGTTTCTCTTTTTTTTTGGCATTTTGACGAAAACATATGCAGACAAAGTCCATTTAACGTCGCTAAAAAAAAAGGTGGTTTACAGCTTCTGTTCTCTACAGTCGGGGATGAATTGGAGATGAATTGGAGATGAGCTTGTCAATACTGTTCAAAGACAAAGATCCGCGGCTGTGATCAGAATTACAGGTGCACGATAAAAGACAGGAGTGTGGTTATTGTAATAGTATGATTCATTCACTCCTAAATGCACTTTATTTTGCTCTGGTTAATGCTTACATCAGGCGGAGTGTTTTTTTTTTGAAAGATGAACCGTTTTGCCATGTTGCAAATATATTTAGATTTTATAAGAAACCTTAGTTTTTTTTTAATTCGTGATTCTTTTGCAACCAAATTCCTCCTATTTCAAGGAAATAAGGGTTTCTATAGGAAACATAAAATCTACGATTGTCTTGCCATGGTGTTCCTCTTTTGTCATTTTTCCTGTCTGTTTGCATGATGTCATGAATGTCCAATTATGCTGCATGTGAACAAGTAATGCATGCAGGCTAAAGTATCATCTCCCTTTTTGCCCACTTTTAAAGCTAATAATGTTGAGCAACTTCATAAAAGATATTCAACAAGGTCACTGCAGGATCTGGATCTGTGTGACCATCATTCCACCTCGTAGTAAACCCCCCTTGTCCTCCCGCTTTAAGCCTCCAGGTGAGGCACATAGGAACAGAGGGAGAAAGTCGATACAGGCGACTCAGCCGGGGGCTGACAGGGCTGTCAGCGGACCAGAGAGGGAAGCCCGAGACATTATCTTTGATGGCACTAACGCTCAAATGGGTCCCTCAATTATTTCTGCTGGGGGGGGGCTTTGCTGCCTCGCAACTGCTCCTCAAACCGAGGTCCGATGGGCTGTGTTTAGCGGGTGATATCTCCCAATGAGGGATGTTGGCGAGGGTGGAAAAGAAAACAACGTCCGACTCTGCTTCTCGTCTGCTCGTCTTCATTTTCCGAGTCTATGGCAGGGTGTCAGTTAGAGGATGGCAGGAGCAGAGTTGCTCATGACCCCCTGGGAAATTAAGCAGAGATTCGGCCAAGCATTTTGTGAAATGGTTACCAGTCTCTCTCTCTCTCTCTCTCTCTCTCCCTCTCCCTCCCTCCCACCCTGTTAGCCTCTCATTCTGTGCTGCTCTCAATGCATGTGTCACGCAGTCTTACATATCTGCAAAGCTGTGTTTGGCAGAGTTGATGCCACGCTCCTCTTCTCTGCTACATCATCCCTCCCAGCCTCCCGTCGTCCCACACCGGTGCGATCCTGGACCTGGCCTTGGTGTTGGCAGAGCGATGAATAATGTGCAAGGCCAAGCCAGAACCTGCAGACCGGCTGGCTGGTGGATCAGGAGCTTCTGTTTCCCAACACACACAGAGATCAGAAAACCCCCATCAGCTTCATTTTCATTCAGTGTTCCCTTCTCACTGGCTGAGCAGCCATGTGTTTGCCTTCATTTATGTGCGTGTGTGTGTGTGTGTGTGTGTGTGTGTGTGAGAGAGCTGCTGGTCACCTGTGCTGCCACTTGCTGTATTGTGTTGGTGAACTATCAGCTCCTGTTGCTCCACATTTAACTCCTCTTTTAAGTCATTCTGCAGCCTTCTGCTCCCTCATGCATATTGCAGAAAGTCTCTGTGTTTGTCTCTCCGACTGTCTCCCCCCTTCTTGTAAGTCTGTTTTCTCTCTCCCGTCTTGCTCCGCTTGGACTCCGTCACTCCTGCGCCGGATCCGGCATGGGGTCTGCTGTTAACGCCATTGTTCTCTGAAGAGGTGTTCCTTTCTGCGCTATTACCAGTTCACTGCCCCCCATTTTCACATCCTATAATAATAATGCGCCTTTTCTGCCCGGCTGCTCTCAGCTTAGAGCAGACACTTGTAGCGGAAGACGCGAATGGGCGAGAATTCAATTTTTGCACTTGACCGTGTCCAAGCAAAGGGAATGGGAAACTGTGTGTTTTGCAAAAGGTAAGACATTAATATTCCTGCAACGGACCTTCTGCCACGCTTAAAACAAACACAGTCACCCTGGCTCGAGATGAAACGAGGGAGAGCAGCCAAGCGACTGCACAGTATCAGTATGCAGGATCTCTGGGCTTCAGTTTGGCTGTTTGACTGGTCGAGGGCCTCCAGCTACAAATCCCATAGTTGGAAGAGTGTGGTGCTATGAGTCAGTTGTGCCGCTTCGGCTAATGGCTTTAATCCTCCTAATTCTACAGTGGAAGAAGAGATATTTATAATGGCATGTTTTTCTGTGTGTCTTTGCTGAAAGTTCAGTGCCGACGGCTCGCTGTATGTGTTACAAATATCTGTAGCTTCTTCTGGCTGTAGTGGAAGAAGGAGTAGGAGGGATGCTGGAAGACTCCTGCAGAGAGAGACTAATTCACAGACTTGGATAACCCTGATCCAATTAAGCAGGGAAAACACTCACACCAGCCTGTACACACATTCAGCTCTGTTTGTATGAATGAGGAAGGGGGTGCTTTTTACTGTCTGTTTAAGTCCAGGTTCCACTGTGCACATGTATGAGGCAGTGGAGCCTGTAGTTCATCTTTTAGGCTGGGTTCCACTTGCCCCCCCCTCCCCCGGTCACAGGGCCGTTTCATCGGCTTAATGAAGGCTGTACCTTTGCCTACCAGAGGATGTCAATCTTCTTGATCGACAGGCCCCCGCGTCCTCCTTCCACTCCTCCAAACCCGACACACCGCCGAGCAGATGGAGCCGGGCCTAAGTGGGCCGCTGCTAGCTTTGCCTTGGCTAATAATTTAATAGTCTGGCATTAGCCATATTGAGCTAGCCAGAGCACCTAGAGCCAAGCAAATGAGCAGCGCAGCTGTGCCATCATGGCCGGTGTCAGAGCAGACAAAGCCCAGGAGGCACAGAGGCAGGAGAAAAAAAAGAAAAAGGTAGTTTACCACAATCCCTCCAGACGCAGCTCGTGAATATTCATCAAAGCCCCCCCACACCCCCAAACCCAGCTCTGCACCCCTCTCCCACCAAATGTATTATTCAAAGGAAGCATTTTCCCTATTAAATACTATAAATAAATAACGACATCTGGTAACAGTTTTTGTCTGCTGAATTAATGACACGGTGGAGTATCTTCCCGTGATTGAAGGGGGGGGGTCCTTTCAGCTATCTTTCCTCTGCCGGCCTTTCCTTTGTCTCTCCAGTTGGTTGCAACGCTTCCTTTGTTAAAGTCAGGCAGCATGTCAGCAGATCTGAATTGGATTGCGTCTCTATCAGTCACCTCCTCAAACACCCCGAAGGAGCACGGCTGTTTGTTTTAACATGACGCTTGTCTAGTGTTTTCCTGTCTGAGTTAATCCTCAGTCGAAGGAAAGCTCCCTGTGGGGCCTTTATGTGGTTTCAGCACCGGACAGCTCCAGACGCGTTGCCTGTTTCGTAAGTCTCATAGTTTTTTTTACAGAACTCGACAGGGCAGATTTTTAGAAACACGGTGAAGGACTCAGATGCATCGCTCACGGATATCAAGTAAACGTTGGCATCACTGTTCTACAGACTCTGAGGGCTTGAGAAGCCCACAGATGGCCAAACCTTTTCCACCCTCGTGTGCCTCGGTCCCCCAAAGGAGAAGCTCACAATGCTGTGTGTTCCATTTTAATTTGTAGAGGTACAAAAGGAATCCTGCGGGTCTGAGAAAAATGGGAACTAAGGCTAAAGGAAATTACGACACAAGTGGGTCGAAGAAGAGAAATTAAGCCATTGTTACTGAGAGGGATTTCTGCATGTCTTCCTCTACCTGCCTGGATTCAACACAGTGGGGTTTTGTGTGAAGCCGAGGCACCAGTGTGATACTTATAAAGATCCGCTCGCTAATCAGAGATCTAGCTCTGGGGTTGCCTAAACCAATCACATGGATTTACGGGATAGAATATAAAAGTTGTATAATTAATTTCATCCAGGTCCCTGGCACCCAGGTCGGGTTGATTGCCTCCTATTTCATGTCATGTTTATGTGCGTGAGTGCAGTATTTGATTTTTGTTGTCATTGATATTGGTTAATAATTTTAGTCACAATGTGACTTTGTATTTCAAGCAAATACTGAATGGTGAACGCCGAAAGAGCTTTATGCACAGAATGCCTCAGTGCGTAATTTCTGGCTTCAAAAGGTTTGTTGTTGGTGTATTTCGTTGTTTGTAAAAACAAAAATCTGTTGTGCTTTTTGATTACATATACCAACCAGAAAAAAGTGGTTCCTCTAATCCTCCCGTCTGTCTCCCTGTAGGCGCAGAGCGCTGAATCATATTTTTCTTAAAGCTTCTGATTGTTGTGGTAATACTGCCTTTTAATGTTTGTCACATCACTTAATTGCATTTCATGATCATGCCGCTTCTTACATTCTCATAAAACAGTTGCAGGCAAACATGTCCAATAGTTATCACTGAAAACCGAAAATTTCAACCTCATGGTGGCGCTGGAGGAAAAGCCAGGATCACTAAAGACATTAGGATTCTTCCCCTGGGGACCATGAATGTATGAATGAACTGAAATGGCTCAAAGCTGTTGAGATGTTTCAGTCTGGTTGACAGATCGATCATCCATCCATCCATCTATCCATCCATCCAACCAGCCATCTATCCATCCATCCATCTATCCATCATCCATCTATCATCTATCCATCATCCATCCATCCATCTATCATCAATCCATCATCCATCCATCTATCATCTATCCATCCATCCATCCACTGATCCATCTATCCATCCATCCATCCATCCATCCATTTATCTGTCCAACCATACATCCATCCACCCACCCTCTTGATTCCTAACTGTTTGAGTTTCTATCTATTCGTCTGTCTCTTTACAATAAGCGGCAGTGAAATCATTTTTGTGTTAGCCAGTCCCAACCAGACTTTAATTCCTCACTGAAATTTCCCTTCGTCTCCTCCGCCCAGCCTCGGGGTGCGGGATGAAAAACTGGGGACACCATCAAATTGATTCTAATATGGAATTGGCGAGGCTCATAGCGGGTCAGATGTCCTGCCAGTAGAGTCGCTGGTCGTTTTGCAGTCCGTAATAAGATTGCCAATGCTCCCCCAAAGTGGTTTTTACATGGAGCTGTGAAGCGTGCTGCCTTCAAAGCGCAGAGGCATTAGAGTCGATGGTAGAGGTGTGTGTGTGTGTGTGTGTGTGTGTGTGTGTGTGCGCGTGTGTGTGTGTGTGTGTGTGTGTGGGAGGGGGGTGCAGGTGTGTATGTGTGAGCAACTAAGGGCTTGGAACTTTTACTCGAGGCCCGTGCCTAATGTGGGACTTTAGTTCGTAAATGGCAACAATTTACGAAGAGAATGGACATTTATTTTGCCAGTGTTTCTCGCATTGTTTACAGGAAAATTGCATTTTGAAAGACTAATTTCTATTCAAATTGCTTTCGCTGCGTTTTGACAACACGGAGCAAGCAAAGGAATAAAAAACCCAATTGTTTGCTTTCCAAATCAGGAGAAAACCCAAGTCAGCCACCTGGTCAGCCTAAAGCCCGCCTGAATACGGAGGTCACTTTCTGTGGTCGCATATTTTTATGTACCAAGCTGTTAAACAATGACCATTTTTGGGGCTTTGTGCAGACAAATTCCCCCCTCGCTGGTTACAGCACAGCGTCTCTGCTCTGCTCTGCTCTGGCAAATTCAAAATGAACTGCAGAGGTGGTTACCAGCTCTGATTTGTAATTAAGTGTCACGCTGCAAAATTAATGGAGAAGAAAATAAGTTGTGGAAAATGCAGAAAATGAAGAGACGTCGCCGCAGTCAGTCAATCATGAGTCAGTCAACAATGATATTAATCAGCCGCTGTGTTGTGTGTGAGTGTGTGTGTGTGTTCTCTGCTTCTCTGTGCTCACATCTGCTTTCGTCCTGATTCTGCTTCCTCTCTCGCCTCCCTAGACCTCTTTGTAAGGTTAAAACACGAACCTTATGTCCCCTTGTGTCCTTTTCTCTGCCCACTTTCTCTGGGCTTTTCCCCTCAGCTGTAATTAGTGAGGTTGTCTGTCCGTCTGTCTGTCCTGGTAACTCCCCTTGGTGAGTAGAGCTCTGGTTTGCTCCAAGAACACTTTGGCTGTAGTTACGCTTGTCTTTTCAACGGGACTTTTGTGATCACATGCACCAGATCAGAAGTCATCTGTGTCCGCATGTGTCCACACTCGACACTTCAATGCAAAGCTGCCTGATCGAATAGTGATCGGATATATTTGTGGTCAAAGTAGTGGCTGTAAAACGCTGGATAAACACATTTAATTTCCTATAAATTCTTCACAGTGAAAGTCCCCTGTTATGTTTGGTGCTTACTCTTTCTCCCTGCAGTATTAGTTGACTTTTAAATTCAAGGATATCGGCTAACAAAGCTCAGATAAAATAATTTTCGTAGATATTCTTCACATACAATGTCCCCTGATATGTTGTTATTTAACAGCGTTTCTTGTGTAAGAGTAAAATCAGAACATTTTGGGGTTTAAATCAGCTCTAACGGAACAGGATTCTGTTCCCTTTGCTCTCCTCGGGAGAGGAACTCCCGTGTGGGGGCGAAGATGATGGAGAACTAAGTTTGATAAATTGTACACCACACGCTGTCTACTCCCCACGGAGATCCAGACGCAATGCGAGATCGGATCCCGAAGATCCGATCTCGGAGTGTACGGACTCGACAGTCCTGGCCTGATCGGATGATGCAGATCGAAGCATAATATCTCTCTCTCTGTCTCTGTGTCTCCCTCTCTCTCTCTCTTTCTCTCTCTCTGTGTCTCTCTCTCTCTCTCTCTCTCTGTCTCTGTGTCTCTCTCTCTCTCTCTGTCTCTCTGTCTCTCTCTGTGTGTGTTTGTGTTATGGCTTCGTCGGAGAGCACTGCTATCCCCAGCGGTCCAGCTCTGTGCTCGAATTGATTGGGGACTGCTGTCTGTGATGGATTATTCTCTGCACTGGACTATTGGCTTAGCTGTTGATCACTGACCACTGT